AGAGGCCAGTTAAAATAGTCTTTTAGCAGAAAATCTGCTCTTTTGAACAAGCAGGAGTTTGTGTGGCAGAAAATACTGATCTGAAAGTATTGTTTCATAGTTCACAGGAGCTGAGCTGAGTGTCACAGACTGGTGACATTTCTGCGGGTCAGTTTTTTTTGTGTGGACTTTAGTGACACATCACCCAGAGAATACTTCTATTAACATTTTATAAAGCAGACACACCTGCTTCCCTGCAAACACTCCATAAACAGACCATGATAAAATAAGAAAGGTTTTAGCTATCATATTTTTAGTAGTGAAAGAAGCCTTAAATTTATTTTCTTTGCAAATCAGTCCTCAAGGCAGATTTCCCCAAGCTAGGTTATCCCAGTGGAAAGTGTGAGCAGCAGAACTGCAGCCTTCCAGATGTCTGAAAGTTTGCTGTTCTGTGGTACTTAAAACACTTTGCAAATAATTCTCAAAAGGTCTCAGAGTCAGTGAAACAAGGACACATCAAAGAGGCTTTGCCAGCATTGTCGTGTTATAAACCTTTCCAAAGCACTCCAGTGAGGGCCCAGGTGTCTCTCACTCCCACAATGAGCTTTTGGTGTCATCAGAGGTTTCCATTTCCGTAGGAATCCCTGTAGATCATGAGGCTGCCAGCAAGGATTCAGTCTGGGTAGCAAATGATGGATGGGAAGCTGCTGCTTCCACGTTTTCTGCTGCTTGAGACACATTTTAAGGCAAAATGACAGCTCCAGAATCACACCCTGTTCCTCGCGCATCTCGGCGAAAAACAAGATGAAAAAAGAACCTCAGTCCCTGCCAGACATGGAAATATCTGCTCAAAAGAGCAGTCTCTACTTCTCCAAGGGCCAAATACCAGGTACAGGCAGGCTGAGTGGCTGGGGAGTGTCTGCAGGATGCTGCATCCAGCCATCAGGAAGCAGCAGTGCTGCTGCAATATTGTTCCTGATGCTTTGTGAGCTGAAACTCCCATTTAAAGTTCACATCCAGGAGGATACTTGTGATCCACCACCAGTGCGATCCTCAAAAAACTAAAGGCAAAGTTCCCCTCACGTGTCTCCCAAGTAGGTATTTATTGGTTTCAAGGTACCTGGATTAAATGCTCAGACATTTCAGAAGGATGTGAAAACACTTATGCAAAATGTCTCTATTTTCTTACTTTTCATCCCTTTCCCAGAGTCATCTGAGGCTATGTAGAACATGCACAGCTGGAAGAGGAATTCCTGGAAATATGGGTTTTTTATATTGCATGGTCAAATTGCACCTTGGAGGGCAATAATAGATATAATAATTATTCTGCACAGTGTTTTATAAAGGCACTGCTGGTGGATCACAATCTTGAGCTCCCTTGGACTTGATGAAGCAGGGAGTTCCTCTCTGAAAAGACAGAAACCCAATTTCAGTGCATGTGGCCCGCTTAAGCTTTTGCCAGGAGAAGGGTGCTGTGATTATAGCAAAAATACTGTAGAAGAAGTTATTTTGGGAAGAATAATCATGCCAACAGAGCAAAGAGACTCAAGGAAGAAAACACAGTGGTTATGACTGCAATTACAGGGGCAAGCAATAGCTATTTTCCAGGACTACAAAAGTCATATATATCCAAGATTCCAGATCCTCAATGGCATCCAAAAAAACTGGGTTCTATATGTCAGAGTCATGTAAATTACATTTTCCTTGACAGAGACACAATGGAGTTACACCCTCTCCACAATTTTGAAGTACCAGGGAAGAAAGTAAATAAAATCAGTTGCATTTGGGACATCCTTGATGAATATTAGAAAATTTAAGCCAGTCCAGAAGTAGCAGTTAGTCACTAGATATCATATAATTAATGAGCTTGAAATGAGTAAGGCTGGGCACTCCGTTACACCACCAGACTGATTTAGAAGGCAGAATGAGGCTATATTGTTTTTTCATGTCATAAAAGTTGCAGACTTGGATAATGAAATGTCAGAGCAACTCTGCTCTTATAGCTCAGCTGTTTCTTGAAGCCCTGCTTTTATTTTCAGATTTGCTGTTAATTCCACTGAAATTTGACCCAGAGGAATATTGTGCTACTATTTCAGTAACATAAAGATCTTGAGTGGATTGCAAAATTGTTCTAGGATATTGCCTCTTTTCAACAATGCTTCTTCCCTGTAACAACTTAAAAGCAAACAAAATGAAGAGATAAATCTATGAAACATAAAGCTGGGAGTGCCCCATGGAATGAAATTATATGACAAGACCTCAATTTTCTGTGCCAGCCATTGGAAGAGAGAGTGCCAAGTGAAGAATGAATGGTGGAAAATTGGCTTTTAAATAATTGTAAAGGAAAACAGAGATTGCAAGAGACTATCATTAAAATGTGGGCTTTTAAAAATCAAAAGCTGGTTGCAATTTTGACAATTCTAAGTTGGCAGGTGGCTGCAGACAAAATTACACTTTTCATCTGCTCTGGAAATAGTACTTAATAACTCTTAGGCATTTCTTGCCTGTGGGACTCCAAAAACAAACCAGTGTGCCCAGATGAGATATTAATGGGTGGTTCATGAACACTGGTGCCAGTATGAACCAACTCAGAGCAGTGTGGTAACAAAAACTATGTTATGTAAAATTGTAGATAATGGACACCATGGAGAAAGTGAGAAGAGAACAAAGAAACCTGGTGAGATCTATTTAATTGGCATTGGGATAAATGGTTTCTGAAGAACTAGAGAGTTTTTTGTAAAATGCACTTCTGTCTCTTCTTTTCTGGGAAAAAAAAATTAAAAGGGGGGGAAAAGAGCCTAGACTTGCAAAGTCTCTGCTTGCCAGCTAAAATTCCATATATTGCTGGTTTGGGGAAGAGAGAGAGCAGTGGGCAGTATCATGAGCTGCAGATCTCCCATGAATGCAAGGCAAGACACTCAAATTCTTCTGGGTATTCTGGGGGAAAAAAGACACAGTTGTGTCCCTTTTTCCTGTGGGGCAGGCACTGCTGTCACTGCCCACAGGGGTGGTTTGAATTCCAGAGATCCAAGACCTTCAGCTGACAACAAGAGACCACCCTGGCCTGGGTGACATGAGAGCTAGAAAATTGTTCCTGCCCTGGCCCTTGCAGTTTTGTCATTTTTATTGATTACAGCCTCTTTGAGCTCTGAATAAGCCACTTCTGAACACTGGTTTAGGGGGAGGGGGAAATAGCTGTGCTTTGTGACTACATATTTTGTTTTCTTTCTCAGTCTTTGGCTTGGAAAGCTTGATAACTGGAGTAACATATAAAGAATGCTGTGGAAAACATGGAATGAAAGCAGCTTTACCTTGTTCTTGGATGAACTGGAGCTGATGAGTCAGTAAAACATCTTCCTATTCCTCTTGTTCTGTTCAGATAAACGTTCTCAGTTAAAAACCCCAGAGATTTTGCCCAGACTGACTTCAAATCTTGCCCAATGCAGACCTGTTTGCTCAGTGAACAAAACTTTTGTTTAGTCTCAGAATAAAAGCTCATCTTTAGTTATGTTTCAAAGGAAAGGATACAGGAACAGCAAATATCATGCATGCACTCAGTGAATTCATGAGGAACAGATGTCATTTGCAGTCAGAAACAAGGGGAGGAACTTACGTTTTGAATTATTTAAGTATATGAGAGCAAAGAACAACCAAAAGATAAAACAAAGTATTTTTGCTCTGTTAGTCCCAATTGCATATTCTCATAGTCATTCAAAATCCTGCTAGCAAAGATTAATAATCAGCTCTTGTTGGCAACAGGCCTTTATCTGGAAGACCTCCCCCAAGCAAGATGAGAGTGCTCCTGTGCTGGGCTAATTGAGGAGATCAGGTGAGAAACAGTTCCACAGAAATCTGATTCCAAAGCACATGATGGAATGATTATTCCACTAGGGATTGTTTACAGGGAGTTGTATCCTGACTGGCCCACTGTGTTGTTTTCTGCTTTTTTGAAGGTGACATCTCAGGAAATATTCTGATTCCAAAGCACATGATGGAATGATTATTCCCACTAGTGATTAGCGAGTTGTATCCTGACTGGCCCACTGTGCTGTTTTCTGTTTTTCTGAAGGTGACATCTCAGGAAATACCTCATGTCCAGTTGCTCTGTTCAAGGCAGAAATGGTCCTTCCATGCTCAAGTGGGACAGTGGGCCTCAGGAAATATCTCATGTCCAGTTGCTCTGTTCAAGGCAGAAATGGTCTTTGCATGCTCAAGGTTCCTGTACCGTGGGACAGTGGAGCTGTGTGAGGATTCTGTAGGGCCACAAAGGTGACAAAGGGACTGGAGCATCCTTCCTATGGAGACAGGCTGAGAAAATTTGGGCTGTTCAGTCTGGAGATGAGAAAATTGTGTGGAGCCCTCACAGCACCTTCCAGTGTCTCCAGAGGCTCCAGGGAAGCTGGAGAGGGACTCTGCATCAGGAACTGGAGTGATGGGACAAGGGAGAATGGCTTCAAACTGAGGGTGGGCTTAAATTAGATATTGGGAAGAAATTCTTGACTGTGAGGGAGATGAGGCACAGGGTACCCAAACTGAGGGTGGGCTTAAATTAGATATTGGGAAGAAATTCTTGACTGTGAAGAGATGAGGCACAGGGTACACGGAGAAGCCACCCCATCCCTGGAAGTGTCCAAGACCAGGCTGGACAGGGCTTGGAGCAACCTGGGGTAGTGGAAGATGTCCCTACCCATGTGTCCTGTTCCACTGTAGGGAGCTGTGAAGAGCTCTTTTAAAGCTAGATGGTGAGGAACGAAATTAAGTCAAATGAGGCGAATATGGTATCTGAGAACCGTTTATTGGTAATGGGAAAAAAAAAAAAAAAAAAAAAAAAGACCGAAATAAGCAGGATTTAGAGAAGGATTTACCCTACTCCAGAAGGCGAGGGAGAGAGAGCGGACACAGCGACCCCGAGGGCGTTCCCGGCGGAGCTCGGGCGGTGCCGCCCGCGGCCCCGAGGCGGGGCTGTGGCCGTGGGCCTGCGCTGCCGGCCTGGGGACAGTGGGGACAGCACCGGACACGAGGTCAGGGGGATCGGGCAGGAGGCTCAGGAGCCCCGACAGGGTGACGGCCGTGGGCAGGGTTGGACAGGTGGCTCAGGCAGGGAGGCAGAGAAGCCGGCAGGGCGCTGGTCAGGGACAGACGGGAGGGCGAGCGAGAGCCGGCGAGGCAGCGGAGCCGAAAGGTAAGCTGGGCCCAGGGTAAAAAGCGTGAGACTCCAAAATCCCCGACTCAAAAGCAAGTTTTGAAAAGAAAGTTTCGAATCGCCAAGCCTCAAAAGCACAGTGTCAAAAAAGGCCCGAGCTAAAAGCCCCACAAGAGGCATAAGCATAATCCCCAGGGTAAAAAGCGTGAGACTCCAAAATCCCCGACTCAAAAGCAAGTTTTGAAAAGCCAAGTTTCGAATCGCCAAGCTTCAAAAGCACAGTGTCAAAAAAGGCTCGGGCTAAAAGCCCCGCAAGAGGCAAAAGCATAATGTCCAAAATGCCCTCGGGCTTGTGGCGCAGTTCCTTTGTCTGCCCGCTCCTCCCAAAGCCGGCCCTGCTCGCAGGGGACATGGGCCAGGCTCAGCCTTTGCCATCCGATGGGAGCAGTCCCTGGGGACAGCTCAGTGTCCCCTGTCCCATGGGAGCTGTCACCAGGCCAAGTCCTCCCCGAGAAAAGGCAGCTTCGAGTTGCCTCCTGCAGCTGGCACATGTGCAAACCCTTCCCCATGTGTGCAAACCTTCTCCATGTGCCTCTGGCAACCATTGCTGAGACAAAACAAAACCAAATCAGCTCCTCGCACCATGGCAGGGGTGACACTGCCTGATCTGAAGGTCCCTTCCAAGCCAAACCATTCCATGATTCTGTGATTAACAGCACTGACTGCAAAATGAGGCAGGATAAAATTTTAAGGCCAAAGTAAATCACCTCTCCAAACGCCTCTGCCTATCACAGCAGACATGACATTGCACAGGAATAACTTCTCACTTTGCCTTTCACTTTCAATATTTTCATGGAAAGTGTTTAAGACCGTAATTAATTCTGAAAAGCAGACAAATGCAATGAGCATGCATCTGATCCTATAAAAATCAAATGGGATATTCCCCTCTTGGTAACAGGATTTTTGTAAAAATCCTGATAGTTGTTAACAGGGATTAGGTTTAAGCAGGAAGGTTTTTAATATTGGAAATCAGATTATTTTTGTGGTCTTTTTATGCTATGATTTTTATACCCAAAATATACATTGTGTTAAGAATAACATTTTTTGTAATGATCTAGAAAACTGTTAAACTCAACAGAGTTAGAAAGGCAAGAAGTGAAATTAATATATGAAATAATTACACTTCTCCAAGATGAAACTTTCCCCAGCTAAATGGAAAAACACCAGTTACTGCACATCTATCTGTGCCTAACACAGCTCTAGTGACTGCAGAGTAAATTTTGACACATATTATAATTTAAGTTACTGAAACTCTGGGAGTGTAAACTATTCACAACACTGTATTCAGAAAGGGTTATTTATATATTTTGTTTCATGTGCAAGATATGTGCAGAGTTACAGGAGAATCATAAAATTACAGGTGAGAGGTGCAAAGGAAGAGTCCATTTCAGAAGCACAGTACATCTGTAAGTCATCATTAATGAAGTATTTTGTGGATTCATTGGTCAAACCTTGCCTAAATTAAAATAAATGCCATTATTTTGGAAGCAGTACTGGTACTTAGAGAGCTAATGCATATTTTGGGCTGAGATATAAGCAGCAGTTAATATATGTATTTAGAACAAAATCTGTTGAACTATTTTGTGTCTGTTTTCATGAATTCTGTAGCCAGTTCTATTGGGTTGTTAATAAAAGCAAGGATAATTATTGCAGTACAGCAAACACCTTAGCAAAATCCATCATGCTCAGTGTCCAGTCACCAAGGAAAAGTAGTTCTGCAGCACTGTAGGAACCAAATTTGTACATGGAAGTCAAAATGGAGATGTGGGAAATGAAAATTGATTTTTTTTCACCCCATGAGAGTTTGTCATAAAATGTTAACATTCTTCATTAAACCAACTCCAAACAGTTGGCATTTTTAAAAACAGAGCTGGGAATGTTTTTCCTGTGTGAAAAAGCCCAAAGGGATACTTTGAGTTTTTGTCCTGATTTGATATCAGGACAAAGTGTTTCAGTAATGGAATTTCCTGTGTGATGAAAACCCTGGGTATCTGTCAGCTCTTTTTAGAAAATCTGAAGAATTTCACAGAATAATACATGGAAGCAAATATTGGTGAAGAAAATCCAGCTGTTCTGCTTGTACCAGCAGGAAGCTCAGCCTGAGGGCTCCAAACTCCCTTTTACTGCAGACTAGACATAGAAGAACACATTTTTAATGCAGTGTTCAATCTCAGGAGCCAGAATAGAATTTTTTTCAAGACACTGAGTAATGTCTTAGAGACTATTTCCTGCAGACCCTTGGTTTTAATCTGCACTTTGTTTATTAAATTCCCTTTCTTTGCACAGCTTGCACTTCCAGCACTTCTCTGAAACATTCATTGGTTAATAATTTGATACCTAAGTATTTTCAAATTTGTTTTATCATTTTCAAGAACTTTCATGTCTTTAGAGGAGAACTTCTGAACTGTGAAATAATATCATCATGATCTTATAACATATTACTAATTCGACAATATTCTGGAAATGACTCATAATACTGAGTAATAAAGACTTTCAACTAATTTAAAATGTTGATTTGCAATTCAGTTGAATTTAATCAGAGGAAAAGCTAATGATTTCCAGAAAGAGACCTGTAAAGTTTAATATCTCTTATCCTTATTTTCCTAACAATAAGATATCATAGAATCATAGAATGGTTTGTGTTGAAAGGGGCCTTAAAGATTATCCCGTTCCAACTCTCTGCCATGAGGAGTTGCTGTGTCACTTGATTTTACTGCATTTCAACCAGTAAAAAGTTGCATTTAACAATATTTCCATGCACCGCCTATGAAGTGCTGTGCTAAATTAAAAGAATATTTTGCAGTTTTAGCCTAAAAGTTCCCTCATCAGGATGTTTGCTGGAGAAATGCTCCCTGGTTTCTCTACAGTGCACAGGTGATTTTACAGATCAGTGACTTTTGTGTACTGGGGGGTGGTTTGAGAAAATACTTGCAAACAAAATAAAGGCAGTGGGAGTGCAGAATGGCTTCTGTGATGAAGTGTGCAAAGGAAAACTGAGAGGAAGAGTAAAGTGTACTGACTGTGCCTTTTTGCAGTGAAAAGCAAGAGCTGATATAAATATTTGGCTTTTTTCTTGGAATCAGGGCCTTGTTAATTTTTTTGTTAGGATAAAATAAGGATTGTTCAGTGCTGGCTTGTCATAAATAAATGAAACCTTTTAATATACTGATGGCAGTTAATGGTAGATTTTTTATAGGCAGTGTCAAAAGCCTGGGCCATTTGCATTGAAAGCAGCCAGCTCCTGTGTAGTCTATTTTCTTCCATATCTGACTTTAATTGCAGTTATGGACTCCAGACTGATCCTGTGCTCATCTCTAAAAACCCTTTCCTCTTCTTTCTGAGATTTTCTGCCAACCATGAAATAGGTGGAGGGGAAAAATAGATGTGCTCACTGAAAATTCATGGTCTGGAGAACAAAAAGGGCCGTTCTATAGCCTGGAAGTTTTCAGAGATATTCAGTGGGGTTGCACTGAGCCATTTGTGACACAACACCTTCAGGAGCTCCATCCTGAAGAGAGGAGACATTGATTGTCAACAGCACATGAAGAGATGAAAATGAGCTATGCAGGGAGTGAATGCAGCTGCTCTTCAGGTGTCTGATCACACCCTGTTCTTCCCATGTCCAAGTCAGGTCCATGTGTGCCTCAGGTTGTTCTGGTCCTGTTAAATGCTGTGTTTTTAACCCCATTCTTACTCACCCCAGTGAATGCAGCTGCTCTTCAGGTGTCTGATCACACCCTGTTCTTCCCGTGTCCAAATCAGGTCCATGTGTGCATCAAGTTGTTGTGGTCCATGCTGTGTTTTTAACCCCATTCTTACACCCTTAATATTCTTGCTGGTTTATCCATTGACTGTGCTCAAGCACTTGCATTTATGCTTTCCACAATATTTTGGAGCATGGAAGGTTCTACTGAGTTCAGCTTTCCCTTATAACCCTCAGGAAAATCCCTACTCTACCCATCATTTAGGTGAGGGAGGTGGTGAATACAATGGAAAAATTTCAAATAGCCAAGTTAGAAATAGTCTGATGGTGATCTGATCAGGATATTAATGTAGGGAAAATATGATACAACATCTCACTTTAGGTAAGTTTGCAGTGGAAGATGAAGTGACTTGAGTGTTTGTGACTACTGTGAATTACTCTTAAATTCTCCTCTTAGCATTTGGCAGAACAGACTGGAAGATTAAGATCAGGTAGTAAGAGATATTTTGCTGGTTTTGCTCCAGACAGTATTGACATTTTACAGTGAGAATTGAGACCGACCTTCAAAATGTTCAATGCAAACCATAAAAAGCTTTTGACACCTCTGCAGTTCATAAAATACTGAACTAGAAGCATTACTGTGCCATAAAGAGTTTTAAATGAGTGGGGCTTAGGGTTTTCTCAAAGATTATGCTTTCCTTTGTGACTGGTCAAATTCCATCTGGAAATTAGATTAATTAAAAGTGGCATCTAAAATAGTTTTAGCCCCCTTTTTAATGTTTTCAAAACAGCCCTGAAATAACAACTTATCATGTGCAGCTCTTTCCTGTGCATGTGCATGAAGTCATCTTATTTGCAAAAGCCAGGTTAGATTTTAATAAATGCTTTCTGCTGTTAATAAATAACACATGTTCTTTTATGTATGTGCTCAGTATGTGAAAGGAGTTTTCACCTCCTTTCACATACTGAGCACATAGATAAAAGAACATGTGTTATACAAAGTCAGAAGAGTCTGGTAGAAAATTTAAGTCGGTAAATTCAGATTTTTTTCAGGAACATGTGAGAACTCTTTGGATTGTTGAAATATTATAAGTTTGATATGTAGAACTTACATAAGTTTCATGCTTCTAGTCACTATGTAGACGTTCACATACTTTAAAATTTATTCATATATTATAATTAATACATTTATTAAATGGCAATAGTCTGTGCTAAAATTTACCATTACCATTGCAAAGGGAAGTACTTGAAAGCCAGGAAAACACCAGCAGCAGGG